TTATCCCAATAGCATGCAATTTTCTAACAAAATCTGTTTGCGGCACACGTGTTTAGTACGTTTTGTATCATTGCAACTTGCAATTCGCCATTTTCTAGGGGCACTGATATAATATTTTAATTCCATTATCATTAAAACTCTTTTTAAATAAATGAAATTTAATTAATTTGTTTAATGTTTTTGAACATAAGGTATCTATTAAATAAAATTTGTAATACAAATTGTATGTTAAATCATATTTATAGGTGATTCTACAAAAGTTGGACAACTTGATGTCATCAGTCAATAGAGTAGGTATTTTAATATTTTTTGTAAATATTTTAGTATATTACAAAAGATCCAGGTTTTTTAACTGGTCCACCCAATTTTAATGTATTTTTTCAAAAGCATGTTTGTAGAAAAACATAATAAATATTCAAAACATCAGTACCTTGGCGTGTCACAACTCTTGAATCAAATATTTAAGTGATTTTATTTTAAAATATATTCAATTTATCTTAAATTTTTCAATTTCACTACAAACTATAAAACATTAAATAATGTATTTTTCATATTTTATCATAGATTCGAATAATAGTAATTTTTAAAAAATTGAGAATCTTTGTACTCACTTTTACCCGTTCACAGAACTGTCCAATGTTAAAATTCAAAATTCCTGCGAAATATTAAAGTTTAAACGTCAAGTCCTCGTTTTAACTCAAGAGTTGGTAAAAAATTACCTACAGAGCCCGCCCTTTGCACGACAGTCATCTTGAAAACAATGCAAGCAGCGAAGTTCTGGTGAATGCACGTATACGTACTATATATAGTTCCAGTAAAAATTTCAGTACTGTGGTGAGTAGTTATTTTCTTACGTATATATATATTTCATTGTAATTTATATAAGGCTATATGTGATTTGTTGATAAGTAGCATCCACTAATAAAAAATATCAGTAAAATACTTAATTCCAAATTATAATCTCAAATTTGTATCCCATTCATCAGTACCGTGTCGTCAGTTCCATGTTCGATGTTTCGGTTGTCTTTTTTTCGCAAACTTCAATTTAAATTCTGCTTGCGCAGAATTTGTTTATTTAATGTCATTATAAACTCACATAAATTTGGTGTGGGTCCCATATCTAATAATTGAGATATCGGTATACCCAAAATCCACCAGCCGCCACTGATGTGTGGTATTATTTGATTTTAAGATATTTATTGTATAATATGCTTAAAGTTGCAATAAATCTTATATTTTCCAATTAATTATGTATTTAATTATAATATAGTACCCTGGTACACAGATATTTAGGAACTGTTTGAAAAAGTGACTGGCCGGGCCTGGAATAGTATATTTATTATATTATCTATGTTCTCATAACAAAATACTGTTTAATTTTCTCCGAAAACTATATAAAACAAAATGAGGACAAAAGTTGCCTAACTTTTGTAGAATCACCCTTGTGTTAGTATAAAAAAAACTACTGCTAACTGGTAAACGCTGGTAGTTTCAATAAAGATCACAAGTTTTGAATAAAATAATACAAACTGTTGAACAAAGAGATATTTGCTCTAAAATCAAAATAAAATGTAGTTAGGTCAATAGTATTGTGGCAAGACATATTTTCTTTCTTAGAAAGTTGCTAAGCTTTTTAATTAATAGATACAGTTTACTTGTTAAAATATCATTTTTTTGCGCTAAAAAACGTTTTCTTCATTCAAAAGAGAAATATCTTCCGATGAAATATTTTTGGTACTTGTAACAAAGAAATCGCTTGGTCTTAATTTAAGTTAATATTGTAATATCCTTAAACGAATAGATTAATCTCTCCCCTTAAGTAATTTAAAAAAATGCCTATATAAAGATAGTTTCTAATTTAGATGTGTGATTTTTATTTCTTTTAAGAGATTATTTTTTTCAGTGTGTCAAAAAGGTTATGTTTAAAGTAGTAGAATTCCAAATTACCAAAATAAAATTGTGATTTTTTGTATTTAAAAAGTTGGATTTATAACTTGAACAGCGTTGTCAAATTTTTTTGCATTCAAAGTATGTTAATTTGCGTGAAACTTTACCTTTGACCTCGCATGTCACTTATTAAGCGCATAGTTTTACGCAAACTTATTAAATGAATCCCATGCGACATATTTATGTGAGAACAAGTCAAAGGACGTAAAAAATCCTATCTAAAACGGTCTGCGCCAAACTACCTTGATTCTATTTTAAAAAGAAGTCAGAAATGCACACCGATCGATCGCTCAATATCGAGAAGGCTTTTTCTATTGACGTACTTGATTTTAAATGCGTATCATACTTCATATTTATTATGATTACTTCCGGAATACCTGAAGTCGGATAAATAAATAGATCGAGTTTCAAAAACTCGACTTCCTGTTTTGTTTAAGGTAACGTTAAGTGAAATGAAGGTTTATTGGCAACATTTTTAAATTAACCGCGTATGATAAGGAAATAATTTTCATCAAGGGGGACCAATCAAATCAAATCACACCCTGTGCGATTTCATTCAAAAATGTAATTTAAAGAAAAACTTTTTTAACTATTTTTAAACTATTAAATCAACTTAAACTATCCAACTATCCAACTCTATATAATTATAATTTACCAAATATGGTTATGTTTATCTATAGATATGACTTACAGATCCTTAAAATAAAATTTTAAAATAACACTTCAATATTTCAAATGCGCTTGAAGAAATAAAAAATAGGTAATAACAAAATTAGTTAAATTAAATAAACAAGTTTGTTATTTTTAAAATAACTAACCTAAAAAAATTTCCGCCGATCTTACGTTCCGATTTTAGTGGCAGACCTGCTTTATTTTTTATAAAACGCATCTGTTCTGTGATAAAACCTACAGATGCTTACCAAATTAATTAAATGTGAGGGGTCCGTTTTAAGATTTGTAGATAAATAATTATTTACCACTTTGTTAACTCTTCTATATAGCAAGTTAAAGAAAGTCTATATTTTTTTAAATTATTTCTTTCAGGCTTCATTATTACACAAAACTCACAACCTATAGGTTTACATATAAAGCTGCATTGAGACTAATTTTTTAATGCAGGTAACAATTCAAACTGCAAAACCAGTTTATTAATTAACGTTAATTTACTATCGATTTAAAATATATTTGGTAAAATATAACTTGGTGGTTAAAAAAATATATCCAAAAGTTAGTTAGTTTAATTAAACTAAACCAAAATAAGGTTAAATTTAGAAGCAGCATTTTAAGTTTAAATAGCTACAAATTTACTACTAAGTCAACTTTAAAGTATTTTTTACGGTTAACCAAAACGGTTTTATAACGGTATAGCTACGAAAAATTACCAAATTTGGGGAATGGTTTATTTCGTTATTTTACCTACATAATAACCTTTTTGATCTACTAAGAGAATAACGTAATAAAAACAATATAAATACCACAAACGTAAAAATAACGCCATAATTACAATTAAATGTTTGCTCTCTCTTTCTAAAACATTGACATTCGTAATTTCTTTGTTCTTTTAATTTATATTTTACAAAATGGTACTTACAAAGTAATAAAGGCCACCCTAGAGTAAAATTAAAAAATATAACTTAAATTCACAAAACTAATAATATTTTGCATTAAAACTCAAAGGCACATTATTTTATTGTTAATCATCTTAAAAATTATACGCCCTCTAAATATTTTACGGTTTTAAGAAAAATTATTGCTTGGGTAAAAATTCAACAAAACCTACAAAATTTTACAAAACCTTTTAAAAATCATTTAGTTTTAATCATTTTTTTATTAACTAAAACTTTCCTTATTATATTTTAAAAATATTTATGAAAAAATATTGTATAAATGTTTAGATAAGTAATGGATGCTATCTTAAAAAACTCATGGCGACCTGAAAAAAGTTTTATTTTTTACTTTAAGCTTATTTTTTCTTGTTTAATCAATATTAATAGTATTTATTACCACTAATAGCCCTAAAAAATACAAGGCGAGTTGGAATTATAAATTATAAAGTGGTCTTAAAATCGTAAAATTATGACTTATGAGTAACATTTACCATTAAGTAAAAATTCTGACGTTAAAATTACCGTTAAATTTTCCTTTGGGTGAAATACACTTATAAGTAATTTTCTTTCGTAACAATTACGTCCCTCATAATACTTTAAAGCGTTGAAACTTAAGGGTTATTAAAATAGGTAAAAATAACATAAATACAACTTATTAAATAACTTTAAAAAAGTTTTACTTCAAAGTAAATATTTAAGCTTAATTTAACAAAATATTAACTTAAATTAAGTAATATTGCCGTTATGTAACTTCTAAAATAACCTACTTTTTGGGTAAGTATGTCTGGACGTTAAATTATATCTATTAATTCTTAAAAGAATATATATAAAATGTTAAACAAAAAGGTAATGATTAAATAATCAATTTATTTTTTTGTACATTGATTATGTCTAGGTATAAAAAATGTATATTATTGAATGGAAATATTAAATAATGGATATTAATTGAAGAATACAATTTAACATTTATTAAAATAATCTAGAGGTACCTAATTTAAAGCACAAAGTATATTTAATATTAAATGTATTTCTAATTAATATTTTCTTATTATTTCACATTAAAAACACCAACTTCTTGATTATGGCATATTTTTAATTATTGATTAGACAATCTCAAAACCAACAAATAATATTTTGCGCTAATTTCAAGCCGTAACCAGAAATTATCAAATTATAACAAATTTTTGGAATAACAAACTCAGCTGGGTATTGTTAATTTTAAACAATTGGGTCGCTAATTGCACATCGACCCAATTAAAAATGTTAAGTAACTTTCACCTGCGTAACCACCGAGCGAAGTTACTTTATTTCGTTTAATATTAGAAAATCATTTCGGTCAGGCAATTGCAATACGCGCGATTGTATTAAAATTTTTATTTATGTTTTATTACACGACATGCCGTTTGCTAATCTAAATAAATCGGAATATATTATTTAATTACTCACCTCGTACACATTAGGGTGCCACACTTTCGTAAGGAACCTAATGGAGGGAGGGGAATAGGGGTAGTCTATTGGGAATTTCATCCTGGCCTGAAAAAAAAATAAATCCCCGATTAAATCCATTAATTGTTTCCTAATTACGTTTTGTTGCAAAAAGAACAACAAAGAAATTAATCAATAAAACGTGCTAACTCAACAATAGAAACATAAATATGCCTTAACCAGTCAAACTCATTATAATTAATTTCAGCGTATGTAACAATGTAAATCCTATTCATGAACAAATGTTGTTAGGTAGGTATTGATTTTTAGTAACTACCTACATTGTTCATAAATTGTTATAATATAAAATTTATATACTTCAAAAAGACATCTATACATAGAGAACTTCAATTCGCATTTCAATTTTACAGAACAAAAAAAAAATATTATACTGTCGTGAAAAAATAACATTTTTTTTTATTTCAAAATAGGTAGGTATGGTTGAATCTCAAGAAATGTCCCCCGATGATGTTACCCCGTGATATTTAATAAAACTAAATGAGTTTGACCTACACTTTTATTGTGTTTTGATCTTTCATAATTAAGTAGACAGCTCAGGTTCCAGATTTTTAACCGCAATTAATTATTTTTTTACAATGTTTCAAAAGTCTAAAACCTATCCTCCGTGACTGTTACTCTTTCTAGGTTAACCTAGTTTTCAAATATCTGAGGTAGTAAAAGCATACTAAAAATATCAGTTCACTAAGGGCCGGTTTATCAATGTCCTGTTAAAGTTGCAGTTAGTTATCTGTTAGATAATTTCCATGGATACCATTGTTCTCACAACGATCGATATGAAATTTAACTGTCAGATAGACTAACTGGAACTTAAATAGAGATTGATAAACCGGCCCTAAGTAAATTAAACACATCCAAAGCAATCAAATCAAATATAAAATATTATTAAAAATTAAAAGAAATAATTTTTATAACCATTTATGTAGGCGTTTAAAAAATTGATTCTATCCTCCGTGAATCTGTTTTTGCTTTAAATTGTATGCAACGGATGGCGCTTTAATCATTTTAAATAAGCAAAAACCTCTGTTTTAAACATAATATGACATTTTAGATGCATGTGATTCCTGAAGGTCAGTTAGAATTTATATGCAGATGAGAGTGTTGCTGTTTTATAATTCAAAAGTTTAAGTTCATTAATTTGCTATTTAAAAACCTATCCACCGTGAAGTTTAATATCTCAGTAAGTAGATTTTTTTATAAATATTTTATGTAGGTATGTATAATTGTATTTTAAAAAAATATTAAGGTGTCAAAAGATATAATAACTTATTTCAAACATACAAAGGAATGTTTAAAAAAAACATACAAAATCATAACCTCCGTGAAGCTATCTTCCGTGAAGCATTTCTTAAAATTATTGCATTAGTAGAAAAACCCTATTCTAGACCAACAGTGAAACAACCAAAAATAAAAAATAATCATTTTCACTTGGGGGACACGTCAATAAATTCCCTCGTAGGTATTCCTACATAAGTTCAATAAAAAAAATTCCCAAACGTTTTTACGAACTAAACTTATTAATACGGCGGGCTTGGTCTGAACCTGAGCACAATTCTGCGCGCAATGATATAAAACCCAAGTGGTAATAAAGAATGTTTTATTATAAATAATTACACATTTCATCACATCAACATTAACATTAAATTGAGTGTGGCAACAATGGAATGCGGTCCAATATTTTCTGTCAAATTATTGGCAACTTAATTTGAAGTGTCAATTGCATAAAATTAAAAATCACATATATTTATTTCATTGAAAAATAATTACTTGCATTGTTTGTATGACAGGTAAATCTTATTATTCATGGTCAAGTTTTTGTCTTTGTTTTTACAGATAATATTATTGTTTATGGGGGAAAGTATATTTCGCAACTTTCATTTGTAAAAGTTGTAATGCGTAGCCTAACGATAAGATAAGATGGATATTAATAAAACTGATTTTTACCTTGAAGCAACCACCCATGTAGAGAGTGTCCGGTGGTCCAAAAATAGCAACTTCCCATTCAAAAAGATTGTCCTCATTTACTAGCTTAACGCGGAAACCTTCGACAGGTTCTTCCTGAAGACTTTTGTATTCGACTGCCAGAGCCCGAAGAGCACCACTACACAGTTTATTAGCCATTTAGCTCACAATCAACAATGATTGTCCACTTATGAATTTACAAAAGACCTGAGTGTTTCAACGAATCGGCTAAGACGCCATTAATACAACCAAAATAAACCTAAAATGTCAGAACCAGGCACTGAACTTTAACTGCACTAGCCAATACTGACAGGTTACAACAATTTTGCTTTGTGTCAGTAATTTGCTTCTGTTCTGTTAAACGCGTACTATCGCAAACTAATTCTTATTATAAGAGTCATACAACAAAAACAAAGAACTCCACACCACCACTCTTCTTTATCTCTGCCACCACTACTCTTGCCAGATTGCAAGAAAACAGCTGGTGTCGATTGTTAATAAAGCGCATGCCCAAAACAATTATTATTTTATTTTGATTGTGGCAACACTGATATCTATACTTTTATTTATTTTATTTTCGACCCACACCACCCTAATATTAATTTTATAAACACAAATATTATTGTAGTATTTCTAAACTAATTAAAAATTAAAAATAATCACTAAAATCGTATATTTTATCATTTCAAAACAAATTTGACAGTTCGGGCGCCCTCTATGAACTCAACGTGGAAATATTTGTGTCAAATGTTTGAAAAATGAATGTACCTTTTCATTGTAGGAATATATCAAGAAATTTATGTAATTACCATGTGATGCCTAGGAGACCTCTTTTGAAAAGCGACTCGAAATGGCGCGAATACCCCTCGATTTGCCACTGTTCAATATCAACATCGGGAAACAACATAACCTCGCTTTTGAAGGGCAAGGAAAATTTAAAATACAGAAGTTTAGCGGAAAGCTTCAGGAGATGCTACAGCGTCGAAGAGAAACCGTCCACCAATAAGCTGCCGCCTCTAATGAATTTTCCCAAAATCGTGTGGCCTTCCTTAATCAAATCCATGAGAAATTTTGTTTTGGCCACTTTCATTATCAAACCTTATTTAGATCGCGAATTCAACCTGCCGGACTTCATTTCGGGGTCCAAACGAGCAGTAGAGGTAAGTAAGATGAAAATATTGTTTTTGGGATTTTTTTAAAGGACAAACTTTAGGTGGTATCACATAAATTATCATCCGGTGATTTAAAGAAATTAAATGGTTTAGTTACGTCAGATATTCTGCCAAATTTGCAGCAAAACGTGGCTCAAATGTCTTTATCTCAAAGAGAACAGATTGCAATTAACGTGGACGATATTTATTTTTCATTTCCTTACCAGGTTTTTTGCAAATATAGTTTTTTTAACATTTTCTTGATATTATGTTTTTTAGGTTGGAATAATTTTCAATGATGAAGATACAGATCAAAAGCGATTTGTTGAGATTACAATGGTTTACCACACGTTAAAAGGACTGGCGGCTATGAGAGAACGTGGTGATGAGCCCCCGTTAAATATGGGGATGCTGCCCGAATACCAAAACAGAATTTCTATTTGTAATTATCGTTTCGTTAGGGAATTCACTAAAGGGGTGGATAGTGAATGGACTGTAAATTCGTTAAATCATTTTAAACCCATCGATGAACAAGAATAATAAAATTATACCATTAATGTTGTCTTACTGGAAAAATTATTAATTTAATAAAATTTAGGTTTTAATTGAGAAATAGTTGCCTCAAAGTTTGTTTATTTTTGTTTGGGTTGTCCCAATATCCTATAGGATTTTTATGTGACAGTTGTTAGGGAAACATTTCAAACATTTAATACAGATTATACATCATTTTTAAATAAATAGGTAGTTTTTTCACAAAAGAAAGGAAGGCAGAAGTCTTACTTGACAAATTTTCTTCAATTGCACAGCTAAATCGCTCACCTTATTTGTGTTTTACGTTGCAGGGAAAAAATTAAAAAACTTTTAGTACTCGATTTCGATTGATTATTCTTTATATCATTGATTAAGAAACTCAACGCTTAAATGCTTATATAGTTACGTTGTGTGTGTATTTTATCAAAGGGATCATGGTGAATTATTGCGTTTTTAATTGTAAATAAAATTCAAGAACTCAATCGTTGCATTTTCATGTTTTGCCAAAGGATCCAATTCGGTAAGTACATTTGTTGGTGCAGAATTAACTAATGATAACTTTACCTAATATAATTTATATTTAAGTTTGGACATTTTTAAGAAATAAGTAAAAAATAATTTTTGCACAAACATAACCTTAAAATCAACCATTTTTATATTTGAGTTCTCTAAAAAACGCCGGCAACTGCATTTTAAACAACAAAATATACCTACAATTCATGGCAACATAATATTATATATAATACATAATATAATGGTATTTTACCGTTGAGTGGAGACTTTCTTAATCAACGCTTTTAATAATGCTAAATGCTGTTTAAATTTAGACGACTTATTTGTTTGACGATTTTTACTGAATTGAAATGTTTACACTTTTCACGTTAATCACTACTAAAATGTGTATTTATTGTATCAAATAGGTACAATTTAAATTTACAGAGACTGTATGCAATTTATTTCTTCATTCAGATTAACATTGTTTATTGGAAAACCGGTAAAAACTCAACCCAGGATTTCCTCTAGAAATACACCCAACAACACAACAAATCGAGCCACGGTTTTTTTTTCGATATTTTTCAACATTTTCCGGCTTTATTCTCAAAACATAAGCGTTTGACAGCTGATTATTAAAAATTGTACTTTTATTGATAACAGCCGAGTGGTGGCGATACCCAAAGGTGTTCTTTGGGCGATACCAGCGATACGACAGTTGTCAAAATTATGCCATTGAGTACTCAATGATTATGCCTTTGTAGGTAGGCAACCATTATAACAAGCACATAAAAACATAAAAGGGTGGTTTTAGGGGTTAATTAATAAATAAAATAATGTTGTTTTTTATCTTTAAATTGTTTTTTCACTGGATGTGCAGATTTGGTTTGTAAAAAAGCTTATTTTTTTGTTTATAAAAGTGGTCGGTGTAGTAGATCGCTGTGGGAAATATCGAGTGTTGTGTCGCGTCAATCGCGCAGTGCAGTGAGTGCAATCATGGCGAATCCAAGGAAATTTAGTGAAAAAATAGCGATTCAGATACATCGACAAGAGGAGGAAACGGCCAGGTTCAACGAGATTTTGAGGGAAGTGAGGCAGGTGTCTGTGCCGCCTGGCAGGGTGAGTAAAAATCATTTAGGCCTCGCGAAAACGAAGACAAATGACGACGTAAACAATATAGTCCCGTGTAGCAATCGTCGTAATATCGTGTATATAATCGCAGATAAACGTTTAATAATATAAATAACGATTGCCAGTACGTGCCGAAGAAAACAAAGGAACAATTGAGCGGTTTCGGCGATTTTTAACAAAAATTTATGACAATCAATAACTAGATTTAAAATATTTGACAGAACAAAACAAGCAACAATAAAAATAGTACATGAATTGCACATCCACAAATTATAATATCAAAATATTAATTGTTTATTACAAAACACGTGTAAACTTTTAGCATTTAGCCACAAATCTACCAATTTTCATTGTAAACATTTTAAATTACAACCGAATTTTACCAAAACGCACAATCACCAAAAATTACTTTATCTTAATTTTATTTTGTTTTATTTTTAATTCAACAATCCTTTATTGTAATTCATACATTAATCTTGTGGGTAATGTAATTAAACAGGACATATTTTCAATTATAATTTGCGAATGAAAATTAAATGTTTACCTACTTCAATATTTAATTTTAAGTAAATATATTTATAAATTCATTGAACCATGGAAACCCTAATATTCCAAGAATTTGGATAATTAACCACACAGTCAATCTGAATTTATAATTATTAGGTTAGGTAATACCAACTTTATTTAAAAAAGTGCCAAGACTCAATAAATTTAATATTGTATTTACTAAAATTTTATATGTAGGTATATTAAAAAATGTTAATTTAAAAAGAGTAGGTAGTTATCGAAAAATAAAAAATCCGGTTTTATGAAAGGGATTATTTTAAGTAGTATTTTGATGAACTTAAATACAGGGTGGTGCACTTTTATGAGTATTTTTGCCTTTTTAAAGGTAATTTACAAATTGTAAAAAATATTTAAAAAAACTAAAAACCTTTCAAAACCAAAAACGTTTTCCTTGGGATTTTGTTCATATTCAAAACCTATTTAAAAAAAGTATTGAGTTTCTTGATAATTGTATCATTGTTCGGAATTTCACCGGTCTACCTATAACAACAATAGATAACTAGGTATTTTAGTTTTTTTAATTTATTGCAAACAATTTTTAATTAATTTTATAAATAGATATTAAATTTACATGTTATTATTATTTTAATTTGTTAATGTGAATTAAAATAAATACATAATAACAATCTGTTAAATATTTAGTGGTTTTATTACTTTTAATATTAATATAAATAATTTTTTTAATAGTAAAATTAAAATTTATTTACGCAGGCTGTAAGATAATTTTTGTAAATGCCACAAAATTAAAATTGTTTTGAAAGAATTAATGAATATTTGCTTGACTTGACTAAAAATGTTTTAGATACCTATATTGATTTTTCTTTGTTAAAGAAACATCCTTTCATGAATTATTATTTAATTAAAGCAAACATACTTTTTCGTACATGTATTTATAAATAGATACATACTATATTTTGTTAAGTGATAAAGTAATTTGCTTTACCCTTGCAACAATAGATTTCGTATTTTTAGATTATAAATGTGGTTTTTACTTATGATGAAGAAAGTCATATAAATATATAAAACCTTGGTTAAAAATATTAATTGTTGTTTCAAAAATAAAGGTTGCAAATAAAAGATGGGCAGGTAATTTAAATGAGGATGTGACATGGTTGGTTAATTTAGCAAAAGGTGGTTGTGAAAACTCAAAATCCAGTAGGCGAAAAAAATCACAAATGAAATGAAATGTAAATAACGATTTTTGGTTTTAATAGGTTTTCAGATTTTTTAAATTATTGATGAACTGCTTATTCTTTTTCGAATATTTAAATTTCATTCATTCTAATTACGCAACTTTTCTCTAATATAAACGGCCTTGTGATACTTCAAATAAAAAAGATACTTTTAAATAAAGTTTAAACAATTTATGATTTTTTAACAAATCTGCAAATTTGTTTTACTGTAGAAAAATGGCGAAAAACATTCTTAAAACATAGAAAGTTTTCAAAACATTTGATAATGTTATATAATTCGAATAACCCTGCAGTTTCACATTAATTTAACTGCAATTATTTTATTTTGTATGCAAATATTTCTACCATTGTAAATATGTAGATAATGATATGTTATTGCTTTGTATTTTTTAAGTGAATGTGTTATAAATAATTACAAGTCTATTAAATTGTTTGTAAAAACAAATCTCCAATGTGTTCTTCCAAGGTTTTTTTTTAATCTTTAAGTTAAAACTTTCTTATTTTAAAAATCTTTATAATTTCCAAAATTTACAAAAATTGTATTTTAATATTTTATATGGTGTTAGGTCTTATTTTTAATATTTTTAAATTAGTTTAGACTAAACTGAACTTTTTAGTGAATATAAAAATGTATGTTTTGATTTTTTGACACCAGGCGACCCCTTAATGCGTTGGACTATTTCAGGTGGCCCCCAAAGAGAATTCGTCAAATTCAAAACAAAACACGCTTCGAATCAACACGCAGGCGCTGGGCACTTTTAGGGGGGGCTCTCTCCCCAACGTGTCCGCCGATTCAGTCAAGACCCCCCCTGTCCCCCCAGCGAAACTAAGCGAGATCGAGATCGTAAAGGTGTCTTTCTTACTCACTACTACAGAAGTAACCACTTATTCTGGAAACGCCAGTTACAGCCCCCTTTTTTTTAAGTACACTCACAGGCAAAATAATCGATCCACACAAATTTTCGATGAATTTCAATCGCAAATAACTTTTTTATTTGATGTCGGATTTAAAAGAATATTAAAGAATATTGTAGATACATTAATGGAGAATCGCTCACATTTTAAAAATAACTAAAAAATACACGTACGTTTATAATATACAGGTTGAAACAAAAAGATGTTTTTTACCATAAGTTTAAGACACTCTGTAGAGTGGCAAAACCGTATATTGTTCTAAATTAAGTTTTATTTATCAAGTCACATCTATTCTTAACAGTTTTGTTTTTGGTTCACCTCGATATATTTATTTTTGTGAAAAATATGGATTTTTTAAAAAAACATTGCAATTTCCAATATTTTTCTGTATACAGAATATGAAGAACTAATAATATTTTTCTGTATGAAGAACTAAGGTTGCTATGGAAAATGACAGTGACAGTTTTGTTGAATCATCCCATACTTGGACATGTCATATACAGCTTTCAAAAGCTATCAAATTGTTTTTTGTAAATTAATGTGTTAATTTTGAGGTGTCTTCTTACTTTTAAAAATGTCTCCGACTGATATTACCCTTTGTACATTACTTCTTGTGACGTTTAATACACTTTCCACGTAATACTGTGACCGTCCATCCTGGATTAAATTAATGGCTCATTCGGAGACATATCCAAGTATGGGATGATTCAACAAAACTGTCACTGTCATTCTCCATAGCCTATGGACCATAGCAACCTTAGTTCTTCTTACAGGAAAAATATTGGAAATTGCAATCTTTTTTTAAAAAATCCATATTTTTCACAAAAATAAATATATCGAGGTGAACCAAAAACAAAACTGTTAAGAATAGATGTGACTTGATAAATAAAACTTAATTTAGAACAATATACGGTTTTGCCACTCTACAGAGTGTCTTAAACTTATGGTAAAAAAACATATTTTTGTTTAAACCTGTATATTATAAACTTACGTGTATTTTTTAGTAATTTTTAAAATGTGAGCGATTCTCCATTAATGTATCTACAATATTCTTTAATATTTGTTTAAATCCGAAAACAAATAAAAAAGTTATTTGCGATTGAAATTCATCGAAAATTTGTGTGGATCGATTATTTTGCCTGTAAATGCATTAATAAGGAAAAATTGATTTGCCTTCTTCATTTTAAACAGGAAGCCATTAAATTTACTAGTAATAAGTTGTTACTTCTGCTGATTTGATGTTTATTGGCTTCGACCAGTTCTTTTTACTGCCTTGTACCTTTTTAAATCGTTTCTGCTATGCAACCTTACTGAATTTATTTTCTTTATAACTTTTGTGTTGAATTTTTAGTAGGAATCTATAGCGTATTTTCTTTCCAGCACATTTTGCTTGACTTTTTTTTAAATACCATAATGCATGTAAAAAGTATTAAAATTGTTTGGATTCTATTTATTAGATATGAATAATGTTCAGCCCATCAGAAATCTTCTATTGCCTACAAATCCGGTCTCTATATGCAAATAGTGGATTTTATTGAAGTGAATGTTGACTAATTGCAAAATAAAATTTCAAGTTTTATTAAAAACAGGAATATAAACTTTCATCTTGAATTTAGAGAGTCGCCTATAATAATTACACTAGTTTACAAAATCGAAAAAAAATTCTGTATGTATTTTAAACTAAACACGAAAATCACACTCAATTTTTTTGTATGGAAGCGTTTTTGAAATATGAACTTTTCTTTTTTTTTCAATTTTCGGAGGTGTTTTGACGTTTTTGAGTATAGCTTGAAATCTAATTGATCGATTTGGTCAAACAAGCACTTAAATTGAAGGTATTTCAGCCCTCTAAAACTCTCTTTTACATACTTTTGATATCGGATAAGTATTTTGACGCTAGCGATTTTAATAACTTAAAAAAATCGGTTTTATGGCAAAAATTGAGGTCGAAAATTATATCGTCCTGCGAAAGGTTTAAATCAAACAGATAACTCCAGTTTGATTTTTTTTTCGTGAAGCTGACATTTTTACAAAAAAAAAACAAGCTAATGTTGATAAAAATACATGAAAAAATGGCGAAGTTATGAATTTTTTAGTGGAAGACCAAAATTCAGCTATTTGACGATTTTTATTTTATTTTTTTTCTTTTATTTTGTAATATGTTTATTCTTTAATGAAAACCTAAGTAAAGTGCATGATTGGAATTTTTTTTACCGAAAACATTATTCAAACTTTAAATTTGACATGACTCCGCAAACGTGAATTCTTTTGTTTCTCGTGTTGGCATAGTGACATTTTACTGCTATTTTTTGATATTTTAACGGTATTTTTATCATGGTTTTATTTAGTTAATAAAAAGTGTAAAATGAGTAAAAGAAGTAGAGAGTTCGAGTGCGTAAATAACCCGCACAATCTGGGCGACTAAGTGATGAGCACGGAGAACGATTTCACCAGCAAATGTAGGCTATGGAGCGGCGGTATCACGGCTTCTGGGATGCAGCCATGATGGGTTATTACATTTGGTCCCTCATACGAGAAACGAAATACGAAAGCAACAAAAAACAAAGGAGCCAGAATTTTTTTAAACCTATGCTTATTTAAACAAAATAAAACTTTCAAATGTTCAATATTTAAAATAAAAATCGATGTTCAATACTAAATTTTATATAATTCAAAAAATTTAAGAAAAAAATCATAGTAAGGCATGGAGGCCAAAATGGCTGTAAACTAGTTTAAGTTAAGTTACATACAACGTTTTTGACAAGTCTCAAAATATTACATATAAAAATAAATATATAACACAACTAAAAGAATAAAAACATTAAATTTAGAAATACTAAAAAATAGGGTAATAAAGGGTAGAAAATTATTGTATTATATTAACAAAAATAGTTTGAACACGTCTTATGAATCACAAGTTAAAATATATGTATAGGTAGGTATTTAATAATAAATATGCGATTGTTTTCCTTTAATAGAATCCCGCAAAATTTCCTGCATTCTTAAAATCTTTTAATCGGTTTACGAGGAGACGTCTAAACTGATTTGCATTTTACGAAGTTGACCTTTTACGTTCATATTTTTATCTAATCGAATTTCGGATTTTGCGTTAGCTCCTTCATTTATTTTATTTGGCGAAAATACTCGTAGATAAAACTCGTTAAAATACTTCAAACCAATACAATTAGACTAATACAAAATTCTTTGAAATCGTCGCTACTAATTTATGCAGTTTCAATCGTATGCATTCAGTAAATAGTTGTAGTGGTAAGCTCCTTTCACGTCGCGAAGAATTGTGCGAAAAACAGGCCTGCTGCTGCATTGCGACAAACCTGGTCGCAACAATTACACTGTGGGCTAGAATGTTTTTTAATACCACTTTTTTGTATTCCACGTATTTTTATTAGACTGGGCCAAAAAAATCAACTATTTTTTTTGAAAAGTATATCGAAAATATGGTTTGGGGTGACAAAAAAAAATTATTGTGAAAGTTTGAGTCCATAATATTAATATTAAGAGGTCTATCATCGCAATTTTAATTTTTATTCCTCAGCAAGATTTTGTCTCAGAACTCCCAAACCATTGAGTTTAACAAAATCGACTCGAAAATATTTTTTTAAGAAAATTAAATTCTCTACAAAAAAGGTTAAAGTGAAATTTTCTGTCAGATGAACCATTTCCTTAAAATCATGCCTTAAAAATTGGTATAGTTTTACATTTTGATCTTTTAAATTGGAATTTTGTAATTCATGTAAAAATCAGTATCCATAAAAAACCGATAAATATTCTTATGGGAAATCAAATGCTTTACAAAAAAAGTCTCTTAACATTTTTGGCTAAATTCAGTCAATCAAAAGTTATTCAAGGGTAAAATTTCGTTTTGACTTCAAATTTAACCTTGAATAACTTTTAATTGAGTGAATTTGGCCAAAAATGATAAAAGACTTTTTTTGTAGAGAATTTGATTTCCCATAAGAATATTTCTCGGTTTTTTTCCGGGTACTGATTTTTACATGAATTACAAAATTACAAAGTTAAAAGATCAAATTGTAAAACTATACAAATTTTTAAGGCATGATTGTAAGAAAACGGTTCATCTGACGGAAAATTCCAATCAAACCTTTTTTGTAGAGCATACAATTTTCTTCAAAAATATTCTTAAGTCAAATTTGTTTAAACTCAATGGTTTGGTAGTTCTGAGACAAAAACTCGCTCAGGAAAAAATATCTAAAATTGCGATGATAGACCTCTTAATATCAATATTATTTACTCAAACTTTCACCATAATTTTTTTTTTTACCCCAAACAATATTTTCGATATAATTTACAAAAAAAAATAGTCGATTTTTTTGGCCCAGTCTAATTTTTATGATCAAAGATAAATTTTTGTATTTTTAAACACATTTGATTTTGGTCGTTTGATCGATTTTACTCCAGAGTTGCAAAAATGTAAATGTAAAAAATAATGCAAATGTCATTTTTCTAATGCCAACTCAGTTTGAATACATTACTCATTAAAAAATAAAAAATGAGTAATGAAAAACCGTAAATAACACATAAAAAAATGTGTAACGAAATTACCCATTACATCAGTCAAAAATGATCAGGGGTAGGGTTGATGGGGTGATTTTTTATATGGGGCATTTTACACCAAGTGATTTTCGATTTATTTTATTTTTCGATATTTTTAAGTAGGGTTAAATAGACCGTATATCGGACACTTTATAGTTATTGGACAATTAACATTAATACTGTAAAAACAAGAGTTCTATACCTTAAAGTCAAATCATTAGATGACGCTGTATATAATTATAAATATCTCAGTCGGTAATAAAACAGTAAAATGGTCAGTGTCCAATTACTGGTTGGTAAAAAATTTAAATTAATATTATTGGACATACGTCCAATATCATAGTCTATTTATATCCCGGACAT